ATTAGAGGTACCAGAATATCTCGGCTTCACGCCACACTGGTTCTGGAGAGGTTCTACATCCCTCAGCTCCGACTTCTTCAGGCTCCAGCTGGTTCCACGGACTCCGCCTGTGAAGTCGGAGCTGAGGGATGTAGAACCTCTCCAGAACCAGTGCGGCGTGAAGCCGAGATATTCTGGTACCTCTAATGGAACAGAAGCAAGGAACCAGAACCAGGTTGGATCGCCGGGCCGATCAGGAACCTCTTTATTGTTTTGACATATTTTACTGAAACAATCTGTTTAAGATCAGCGGTTCTGGTTGGGTTCTACCAACAGAACCAGTGACGGTTCCTCAGGCGTTCTTTCTGCAGCGGTGACACTGTCCTTTGGAGTCCATTTCCCTCTGAGACCCGGTCCTGCCAGAAGCATCCAGAACCAGGGGATCGGGCCAGAGAGGTCCCCCCTGTGGCGGCTCCTGGCGCTACGCCCGCTCCAGGTCTTTGTACCGCTTCCGGAAGACGGACACCTGGTCCTTGAAGAGAACCGGGTCGAGGCGCAGCTGGGAGTGGACTAGCGGCATGTAGCCGAACCAGCTGGCGAAGGCGTTGACGCAGTCCTGCCGCTGGGCGAAGTGCTCCGGGTGGGCCCAGGGGGCGCTGTTCACGCCCTGCCAGGGAGACGGACATTTAGGGAGAACCAGAACCTGAACAGACAGCAGCCGGCACTGGAGGTTCTGGACGTACCTGCGGGGGCAGAACCTCCTTGTACTGCTTCCTTTGGGCCACCTTGACTGGCGGTAGGTGGGTGGCGGCAGACACCAGGAAGTTCATCAGGATGTCCTCGCAGTTGGCGGTTCGGTCTACCAGCGCCCGCAGCGACTGCGGCAGGAAGTGGGAGAACAGGAAGTTGTAGTACCTGCAGGAACATCAGCACAGCGTCAGCAGGTCCATCAGAACCACTTCCTCTCTAAAACTGACCCCACATGTCAGAACCAGCTCTAAAGGTTCTGTGGTTCCGACCAGATTCTGGAAGCTCCAGCTGTGACGGAGAACCAGTTTGATTTCTAACTGGACTAAAATAACCCCAGAGGTCCGGTTGGGACCAACGGTCTGGGAGCGGTTCTGATGGATCGGCTGCTGTTGGACCTGTGGTAGAAGGCGGCGCCCGTCAGGACCATGGAGTACTCGTTGGTCCATTTGGAGGTGTAGCCCCAGGCCTGCTTCAGCGGGTCCCAGAAGTGGCTCCGGGGAGGATAGCCCACGATCCGGTCCGGGAAGCTCCTCCACACCAGGAAGGCGAAGTTCACCTGCAGAGCAGAACACGGGTCGGTTCTGGTTCCGAGCGAGCGGGTCCACCTGTGGTCCTCACGTACCTCGCTGGTCAGCAGCACCGTGTCCTCGTCCAGGCTAAGCACCGCCTCCGTCTCTATGGCGACGTGAGGCAGGAAGCGGCTGGTGGTCTGCAAGGAGAGCGGCGGGTCAGGGAGCTGACGCTCAAACAGGAAGTGATGTCACAGCCGGCGGCTCTCACCTTCCTCCTGCCCTCCGTCACGATGAGAGGGACGGGCATGGGGGGCCACTTGCTGCGGCTGGGGGGGGGCTTCTCGCAGTTCCACAGGATGATGATCTGGAACAGAACCGTGTGTTAAATGGACCGGAACCAGAACCAGAACCGGAACCTTTCCTGGACCGGATCACAGGCTGCAGCTTCGCTTTGGACCCAACAGAACCGGCACACAGAATGTTCTGGTTCTGGCCGGTTAAACCTGCTACAGAACAGAACCAGGTTCAGAGGCTCGGAACCCGGAGGTCCGGTTCTTTACCTGTGAGCAGTACTTGGACTTGGAGACGACCTGAAGCAGCTTCATGATTGGCTGCGACTGGGAGACCAATGGCGAGACGGCGTGGATGACGGCGGTGAACTCGTGACCAGAACTGATCCCTGGAACAGAGCAGAACCGATTCAGAACCGGGTCAGACGGAACCATGCTGTCAGAATGAACGCCTGGAGGAGAACTACAGGTTCTAATGAGAGGATCAGAACCGGCCGCTGGCGGCGGGTGGAGGCGCCTACCGAGGCCCAGGTAGTAGAAGGGGAAGTGGGCCAGGTGGGTGGAGAACTCTGGCAGAACCAGCAGACCTCCTGGCAGCGAGTTCCACATGTACTTGTTCCTGGAGATGTGAGAGAAGATCCGGTCCTTGATGATCTGAACACAGAGAGGAGAGGAACATCAGTCAGCAGCTGGATTCCAGTTCAGACGGCGCCCCCCCCCCCCACGGCCTGAAGGTCGCCTACATCAGCACGTCACCATGGCGACGTCCTGTGACCTGCATCCAGAACCTCTGACCTGCTCCCCTTTGGTTCTGGTTCCTCCTGCAGCGCCCTGACTGAGCCAGCAGATGGAGGTATGTTTCTAAACGGTTACCATGCCAACGGTGACACCAAAGAGGAGGAGGTCAGGAGGGACGGAGACGCAGAGCAGCTCCTTCTGACCAATGACAGGACAGAAGGAGAGCAGGCGAGGGCGCCACCTACTGGCTGCAGGTGCTCAGTCCTCCAGAGCTGCTCCATCCCATCATGAACACACCTGAATGAGGGGGTGGAGCCTTTAGCTCAGGTGTGTTAGAGCTGCATCACAGGATGGATGCAGGCCTGGATACCAGAGACCTGGAGCTGGAAGGTTCCACCACCTTCCAGCCTCTTCCTCAAGCCGCTGCTGCTTCTGTCCGCTTTATTTCTGGGACGCAAATCTTTCTTTCTAGAATTTCTTATTGGATCTTTAGACCTCATACTGGTTTTCACCCAAACTGGGAACCAGTAGCCTTCTCTCTGGGTTGCGGGCTGACCTCCAGTGTGGTGAGGACAATCTTGTCCACAGAGGAAAAGTAGGCGTCCCATAACATCTGTGTCCTCTGACGGAGCTCCAGGACCCGCTGGTTTGGTACCGCCCGCACCGTGGATGGCACCTGGGGACAGAAGAAGAAGAGGACAGTCCGATGAGTGCGGCTCCGTGTGGACAGAGGACAGCAGAGGACAGCAGAGGACAGCAGAGGACAGACAGCTTCTCCTGCTGTGGGAGGGGCCAATCAGACTCTGGAAACGTCTTTCTGGTTTGGATCCATTTCCTGTTCGTTGATCAGAGCTACTTTATGATTCTGTTTGATCAGAACCGGTTAGAAACCTGCTTTCTGTCCGACCGTGAGAATAGTTTTTATTTTCTGACCAATGAGCTCGTCTCTCTGCTGTCCTGCTGACCGTGGCCCCTGGGAGCCGCTGCTATAGACACCAGGGGCCGCTCTGCATGTTGGTTATGATGGAGATTATTATCACTTCTCTCTTTATCCAAATCGATGCATAAAGGGAAATCATTCTTTTTTTTTCTTTAAATTTATTTATTTATGTGTTTTATTGCTCCTTTTATTTCGGTGCAGCTTTAAGACGTGATTCATGTCTGATCCTAAAGAATAAACATCAGCCTGAAAATGTTTGTTTCATTATTTAAAGTTATTTTTTATTTTTGAATCATATATTAAATAAATGAATGAATGTTAAATTTACTCATTTTATTGTAAATGTATTTATTTGGTGTTCGGTCAGGAGGATAAAGGCCTGAGAACAGCAGAACCAAACACTTCATGGTTCTGCAGGTGTTCTGCAGGTGTTCTGCAGGTGTTCTGCAGGTGTTCTGCAGGTGTTCTGCAGGTGTTCTGCAGGTGTTCTGCTGAGCATGCAGAGGCGGGACCCTCAGAGCGCTGCAGGTGTGTTTACCTGCAGCAGTAACCTCTCGTCTCCCTCGACGACGGCCTGGTTCCACTGGATGACATCAGAGAAGGGCAGCTCCCAGCCGTTACTCAGCAGGACGGGGATGCACGCCGCCTGGACGCACAGCGGAGCAGAAACAGGTGGGGGAGGGTCAGATCTTCTGCTGAATGCAGGTGAAGCTAAAGATGGATCTGCTAATAAGGACGGCTGCTTCATTCAGGATGGATGAAGGATCCTCTGATGGAAATAATTCCTGTTTCTCATGTCAGACCTGGAAACAGTCGCTGCTCCTCATTCACTGAGACATGATCTCCATCCATGGCTCAGAGAGAGGACAGGGGACAGGGGATGGAGGACAGAGGACAGAGGATGGAGGACAGAGGACAGAGAGAGGACAAGGGACAGGGGAGGGAGGACAGGGGACAGAGGATGGAGGACAGAGGACAGAGCAGAGGACAGGGGACAGAGGATGGAGGACAGAGGACAGAGCAGAGGACAGAGGTCTGTCCAGCCTGCTCACACTCTGAGTATTTATAAAACTCAAACTGTATGTTTGGACTCTTTAGTCTGAAGGACCAAACCTGAATACATAAAATACGAGGTCGGATCTTAACGAGGGCCGCCTTGACGAGGTCGGGTCCTAACGAGGGCCGGCCTTGGCGAGGTCGGGTCCTAACGAGGGCCGGCCTTGATGAGGTCGGGTCCTAACGAGGGCCGGCCTTGGCGAGGTCGGGTCCTAACGAGGGCCGGCCTTGATGAGGTCGGG